TTGAGACATTAGATTTTTATAGATCTTAATCTTAGCATAAAAATTCAAATATGTGATGCTATTCTCAGAACTACCTTTTCTGACAAGGTTTTATATTTGAAATTTCGAATTGTGAGGACTAACTTTACTGATAGATATGAAACTTAAAAAGTTGTGTTTTTAAGTCTTTTATCTTCTCTTCACTTTTGACCAGATGTTGTTTCTAGTGAGCTACAATTTTCGAGCTACGCTGAAGCCCGCATTGTAGCAGTGCAGATCATGAATTTCTTCTCTTGTAGACTGCTGTTCTGCTACTCTCTGTACAAGTGGTTTAGAAACTAACATTAAAAGAAATTTGATGTGATTAATCTCTTAATACAAAGGTAGCAAACTGAAAGCTCTGGCTATGATTCGTTTTGTCTCTTCACCTTTTTTGAAAGGAAAACAACTAAGCTTAATTTCAGTATGAATACCTATATACCTATTTTCCATTTGGTTCTCTTTGAGTTCTTTTTTTCCATTTGTTTGTTACATCTTGGCCTCTGAAGGCATCTGAGTTTGTAATCACTCTGTTTTAACGTATTTCATCAATTTTTCTGTCTTGCTTTTAAAGCTCTCATATTACATATTACTTCCATTAATAGCCCTTCCCAAATGATTTATGGAGTTCTTCAGTGAAATAACTGTTTCTAAGGTCAAACAAACTTGGGAAAAACTGCACACTTGGGAAATCATAATGCATATTGGGTAATTGTATGGGAACCTGTTTAACTGTTAAACTCATCTTTCCTAAAATTTTTCCCAAGATTTTTTTGGTTAAGGGATTCTTGTTTTGAGGTACTTCAATTATATGGGATGTATTTGGGATGTAGTTTGGGAAAAACTAACTCAGAGAAATACAGTAAAATGCACATATTTAAAATCTACATTTTGATCAGTGTCGATTTAGGTGTTTCTCTGTGAAATAACACCACAGACAAGAAAACAAACACTTCTATCACCCCTCATGCAACACAGTTCTCCTGCTTGCTTTCCCAGGCAAACACTGATCTGATTGCTGTCACTGTAGGTTAGTTTGTATTCCCTAGAATTTCAAACCCTTGTTTTTGATGGTTTAAGTTAATCCTCAGATAATTTAAAAGAAACAGCTGTAGTTTTTTAAAAACAAAAATACAGATATCTGACAGATTTTATGTTTATGATCATTGTTATACACTATCAGAATTTCACAGTAAAAATTCAAAACCCCAATTCTTTCAAAATTGTGTGGGATAATGTATTGTAAATTTATATACTAATTTAGTTAAAATAAAAAACATGATTTTTTTCCCTGAAATTGAATCTGAAAAATATAACTACACTAATAAAAACAGAGAATTAACCAACTAGAACTTTACAAGGAAGCAGTCATGGACAATAACTTTTTTTCTTATCCAGTCATCCATTACTAAGATTAGAATATGCAAAGCCCCCCATAAATCATCTTTAAACAAAAAGACTGACCTAAGCTACTCTGTGGGGCCTAGTCTTGGGGGAGGTGGGGCATTGGTCATTTCATATCTCCTTCCTGCCCTTTGCTGTCAGCTGCCTGATAGGAAAAGTTAAGTAGAGAACAAAAATACCTTTTTAAATTCTATCCTTAATAATTGTCACAGGGAAAGTAAATGAGATAGAAAAGAAAAGCCAGTGAATTTGATATTACTAATATATTTCAACCAAAAGTATTGCTTAAAAATTTCTAGTTAATGATTTTTAAATATTTCCCAGGTTTGTTGTCTAATAACTAGCAATTATGAAAATTCTTTTTTCTTTTTTTATTTTTTTCCTTAAAATATTTTTTGATTAATTACTTTTTCCAAATACATTTGTCCCTGCCTTCCCCCGACCACTTTCCCTTGCCCCCTCCCCCCAATCCTTCCCCACTTTGGTTTGGTCCATAAACCCTTGCTATATGTTCCTTGACTTACCCCTTCCCTTCCTTTTCCTCTGCCCACTCTTTTTTCTACTTTACACTTAGCTTTTGATTTTCTGTACTGGGTTGGAAAGTACAAAGTAATAAATGAAAAGTGTTATTTATATTTTAATATAAAAGTGTCTATTTTTATTTTTATTTTTTTATCTCTGTGTTTGACCCTAGCCATGTTTTATGTTCTGGGTATGTATACAATGCTATTAAAAAAAAAAAACAACTGTGTTTTGCAGATGAAATTTAATGGTTCAGTGAAGGAAAGCTTTTGATTTATTTCAGTCATGGCTATTTGAATGTTAGCAATTGAAATAATAAAATGGTGAAATGAAAACAGTGTTCCAAAAAATTTTAATATCCCATAAAAACCTAAAGAAATGTTTAAAATATGTATCAAAGGTCTGGGAAATGTATTGCATAGATCAAAATACCAGATGCTTTACTCTCATAGATCGGTGTTGGGATTGTGAAATGGTGTAAGCTGCCTTGGACAATAATTGATAATACCTCAAAAAGCTAAATATAGTTCCAGCAATTCCATTCCTAGGTATTTACTTACGAGAATTGAAAACATGTGTCCACACAAAATCTTGTACAAATTATTTCTTAGCAACATTATTTATAATAGCCAAAAGGTAGAAACAACCTAAATGGCCATTGACAAAATATGGTATGTACATACAATGAATATAAAAAGGAAGGAAGTTCTGGTACATACTACAACATGGAGGAACTATGAAAGCAGTATGCTAAGAAGTCTGTAAAAAAAGAGAAAGAAAGAAACTAGTTTCAAAAGACCGCTTAATAAAGCCTAGGCTGACTAGCTCAGTCGGGGCATTGTCCTAGCTCGCCAGCCAGCGTTGTGGGTCCCGTCCTGGTGAGGGCACCTGTACAATTTAAAGAGTGAGTGTAGGAAAAGCGGGGGCAACAAACTGATCTCTCCCCCCGCCCCCCGCTTGCTTTCACTCTAAAAAAACCCCCACAATAAATAAAAAAATTTAAAGACCACATAAATTGTATGATTCAATTTATATGAAAAGTCCAGAATAGCCAAATTTATAGAAACAGAAATTAGTGGCTGCTGGGGCCCGGGGAGCGGCAATGGGGAGACACTGCTAATAGGTGCTGAGTACTTTCTGGTTAGAGTGATGAACGTTTTCTGGGTAGCGGTGTTGCTTGCACAGCTCTGTGAAATACTTAAAAATCTCATAAACATCTGAAGCTTTTTGTTTTTTAACCTTTTTAGTATTTGGGAGAAATTTTATTTATCCCATATGAATAAAATCATCAGTGTCAGTTTCTAATTTTGTATTTGGGTTTAGTCTCCTTAAAAATGTGAGAATACAGCAGTAAATTAGTGAATCTTCCTCTGAAGGTAGTTCCGTTCTTCTGTCCACATTTCATGAATAGGCTGCAGTAACTCTTGAATGGATATAAACCCAGCATGGAAGTGATTTCTCTGAAAAACATTTCCCCACCAGCAGAAGTGTATTTAAAGATTGGCTCTTCTAAATCTTGCTATCTGTGACTACATTGTTGAAATTTGAAAGAGCTAGTCATGCCATAGACACATGATTCCTCTCAGAAGGAATTGACTATTGGAGTAGTCATCTTTTAGGAGGAGAGAACCAGAACTTTTTGTAAAGCAATCATTTGAACTAATAGGAACACTAACTTTCTGTTTATACTTAATACCATAACCCTTCAGGCAAAGTGGATCCTTTAAAAGAAGTATTCTGTGATGCCTGGAGTTTCCTAGTTTGGTGTCAAAGAAATTCCTTATCCAATTTTAAAATACTGAAAATATTTTGAACTGGATGCTTTTTATGTATTTATGTCATCTTAGAACAAACTGCTTTTTATTAATCTTATGGTACAATTGATAAAAACACAAAAGGTTATAAACATTCTAATTAGAGTTTTACAGTGCTAGAAGTTAAATCTATTTTTAATTGATTTTTATTTTTTCATTTTTTTTCCTTAACTAGGTCCTTTCTGATGTTGCTTGAGCTTACTCTTCTGCAGTTGATTCCTGTTGGCCAAATATTAAGTCCCATGACAGCATTAAGTTAATGCTCAGTTGTTTTAGTTCCTGGAAAATTCAGAAAAAAAACCTTACCTATACATTAGATGAGCTTATTCCTTTTTGTTCATTCTTAGAAACACCAGAACTTTTATAAATGATCATTTTATAGTTATTGTCACACCTATGGCTTATTCTACAGTAAAGAACATAGTTGAGTTTTTGGAAAGTAGGGGATTTCCAAATTTGGTCTTTAATATTCACCTGCATCTACACACATTACAATAAATGAAGCAGCAGGAAACTATTGCTGCATAAGATGAATGTTTATTGTGGAACAGTAATATTTCAAATGTAATTTTTTTTTAAATTTGGTTAATTTTTGGATTTTTCTATACTGTCAGTTGATAATGGGTTTTTGAAGTTTATTTTATAAAGATGACTCATTTTACTGTTTTATAGTACCAGTAGGATGCTAATATTAAATTGGTGTGTTGAGTTATATAAATGTTTATATTAATCTTTAAATAATGAAATATTGGACAGTTAGTTTTTGTTGACCAGGGGTGAATGTTTGTGCTGGTTTGATACCTAATACAGTTTCCAAAAACAAAAAAGCAAATGTGAATTTGTTGTGTTTTTTCTTCATGAACTGCCCCTTAGCATCAGAACCATATTTAAAAGGAGCTTCATTGTGGAGCAAGCTATATCAGCAGTTTACTTTTTGTGTGATAAAAAAAGACAAAACAATTAATAGATATCCAAGAAATAGATATTCAGCAATGCATTTTAGTTAAGATCTTCGAAGCATTGTCAGTGGGAATAAAAAATGTAACACTGACTAATAAAACTGTTAGGATTTGCCTTTCAGTGAATACTGACACAGTCTTTACCAGCAATACAGTATTATCAGGATTTTGAGTGTTAGAACATTATGTTAAACTGTGATTGTAGTTTTAATGCTTTGTCTCTTTGAATTAAATTTGTATCCATAAAGATGTGCAGCATAATTGTTCATGTATTTATTTGCAGACTACAGTTTCCGTCGCAGCTCAATAAATAGTCTTTCCCCTGTTAATGCTACTCTCTCCTCTGGGATTCCCAGCGTGCTTCCTTATACTTCAAGGCCTTATTCTTATCCAAGCTATCCCTTGTTACCAACAGTATCACTTGCTAATGGCAGCCATGTTGGACAGCGACTGTGTATCTCCAATCAGGCCTCATTCTTCTGAAGAAAATACTGTAAACATGAGTATGAAAGTTTCTTTGTAAAGCATGCTAATTAAAATGCTGTTTTATTTTAGAATTGGGTTTGCACATTTGGTTTTAAAATTATAAATATACATTTCAACATAGTAAAATAAACATCAGCCATAATTCAGAATAACCCACAGTTGTAGAACTTATAAAAATGATAAGAAGTTACTCTGTGGTTTCTCTTGATAAAGGTATAACAAACTACTATTCTTTTTAAACTTTGGGAACTTTAAATACTTCTAATTCCTGAGTGAGCTGTAGAACCCAGTAGTTTACGTTAAATTTTTGCATAATAAGTTTGCTACAAAGCATTTCACAGTATTAAAGCACTTACAGACAATGGTTACATTGGATTTGATTACCAAGGATCGCTATCTGTATTAGAGATTAGAACAGTTATATAACCAGAAGCATCTAACTATTATGTAAAAAGAAATGAAGGGCAAAATGATTAAGACGCAAATTTTACTCAGTATTGGAGGAAAAAAAACAATTTACCATTGTGGTCCTTGAAAATAACTATAAATATTTTAGTTATTTGTTACAGAAATAAATTACAATTTTGCTGTTACTGTATTTAAGGTTTTAATAGTTGTGCTTCATTTGTGTTTTTGATATTCACTGTATAGTTGTTTGAGTAATAAGTGTTACAGTTTTTTAATGTTGAAATCATGTGTTGTTTAATTTTTGTACTTGAATTCAAATTCTTTAACATTAAATATGTGATGTTTCTAATATGCATGTGCTTTATTTTGATTACTCCTATGCACACAAAACACACAGCCCTCACCATCAGCTTGACCTTCTCTTGAGAAGAGTTTCCCTTCCTGGGTGTACAGTTGTAGGCTCGATGTCCTCGTGGGACCAAAACAAAGAGAGTATTGCAGAAAACTATAGGTTTTATGAAGTACAGTAACAAAATTCTTTTCAAAGGCCAATGGAAATGTTTTGTTGATGAACCCAGTGAAGTTTCTGCCTTTTACTTGTGAATAATGAATGAATTCATGTCATTCCTGTTGTTTAATATTTTAGTAGTTTACATTTACAATGAATTTCTAATGATGGTTTACATAAGACAAAAATTCACTCTTCATACTGACGTTAACTTTGTTGATCAACTCATTGTGTAAGCTGTATGACATAGGATTTGCTTACATAGAATATATTAAATGGTTACAAATATTTCTATTAAGTTTCTAGCAGATATTATATAGAGAGTTAATTAGTCTCATGTCTTTCCCATTCTTTAAAGAAAGTTCATTCCATATAGCCATATGCAATACTTAATTTTCCAAGTTACTGCCTTAGATTTTTCTAATTTAAGTGAGCATGGATATTATATTTAATCAGCATTCTTTTTTTCTGCTGTATGTATTGCATACATTTTGCAATTGAATTGCCATGACTCAGGTTTACATTTCTCTCAGCCAATGTATATTGAGTGTTTATTTTGTGAAGTTACTATGGTAATACCCTTAGGCTACAGAGGTGACTCAGATTGCAAATCAAAAGGAAAAAACATTAATTTTTTCGTAGAAATGTTTGGGCCCTGGCTGGTGTGGCTCAGTGGACTGAGCTCCAGCCTGTGAGCTGAAAGATCACTGGTTTGATTCCCAGCCAGGTTGCATGCCTGGGTTGTGGGCCAGGTTCCCTTGTTGGGGGTGTGCGAGAAGCAACCAATCTGTTTTGCACATCGATGTTTCCCTTCTTTTTTTCCCTTCCCCTCCTAAAAATTAGTAAATTAAAAAAGAGAAATGTTTGGAATGACCCAAATCATAATAATTACAAAGTCCCACGTTGCTTTTTCACTTTGAAAAATAAATAATTGAGAGAGATTACTAACCACACAATGTACTCAGGAGACTTACAGTAATGTGATAGGAAACTTTAATACCAGGTTTGATTACCACTCCTGCCAAGCAACAGCTCTTTGACTTGGACACAGTTTTTAATCTCTATGAGCCATATTTTTACATCTGTAAAATGGTAATACAAACTTTATAATGTTAAAACACCTACCAAATAAAAGGCACGCACATGGTAGCTGATGGCTATTTTGGTATAATTAGGGTGGGGCAAAAGTAGATTTACAGTTGTGTGTAGGGAAAATAATGCAATAATAAACTATTTCGTGTACTCACAATTGTAAACGTACTTTGGCCTCACCCTGTATAAAGAATGCAGTCTTTGTTTAGTGGTACCAGTTATCTCTTCTGTTACCTTTAACAAGAAATACAGAAATTACTACATTCATGTCAAAGACTGTCCCTTCCTATGATGTTAGGGTTGAGTAGTTAATTTTTGTCATACTACATAAATTGCATTTGGCTTGTGAACATAGCTACTAGTTATTTGCAGCTTTAAATGTTAGTCTAGGCTATATAAACAGCCTTTGATTTAAGTGAGAGCTTCCCTGGTTAGTTGATCACAAGCTGTTATTGATGCTCTTAGCTGTATGATGTAGCTCATTGGGCAGGGAAACAATTCTAAAGACAGTTCTTTATTAACTTCCTCTGTGCAACTTTGTTCAGCAAGTTTAACTTTATCTCTCTTCTCCGGTTTTAAAAATACTTATTTTCAGAGGGGAAAGGAGGGAAAAGAGGGAGAGAAATGTCGATGTGCAAGAGAAGCATCTATCGGTTGCTTCTTGCACGCCCCTGTCTGGGGACCTGGCCTGTAACCCAGGCATGTGCCTTAACTGGGAGTAGAACTGGCAACCTTTCAGGCCACAAGCTGGTGCTCAATCCATTGAGCCATACCAGCTGGGGCTCCAGGTTTTGTTTTTGTTTTTGTTTTTTTTTTTACAATGTTGGAGTAGAAAAGATTTCTCTAACTATGACCCTAATTCCAGAACCCATAATAGAGAAGTTTGATAGGTCGAATTTAGAAAAAAGCCTGAATGGCAAGAAAGTACCAAAGGTTATGTCAAAAGATGATAAATGTGAAAAATAATGAAATCATTTCACAAAGAGCTGATCTCTAATATTTCCAGATATTATTAAGAAGGCTATCCACTTGAAAAAACTGTATAAAATGTATGAATAGGCGGATGACAGATGACCCTTAAATGTATGAAAAGATGTTTTATCTCAGAAATGCAAATTAAAAGCTTAGATGTGCAGAAATTCAAAATTCTAACAAACTTGGTAAACCTTTAAGGAAATGCATTCTCATACATTGCCAGTGGGATTACAAATTGGTATAATATAGAGAACAATTTGGCACCCACCATCCAAAATTACAAATACTTAAACTTGACCCAGCAATCCTGTATCTGGGACATTTGCATGTGTGTATGATATGTGTAAAAGGGTATTCATTAAAACATGTTTGTAACCCAAATAACCATCATTTGGGGACTGATTAACAATACATTTATTGGTGCATACTAAAAAGTACAAAAGAGAATAAGGACACTTTATTCCTAATAATGAAAATGTTAAGTGACAAAGAGCAAAGTTCAGAAATATGTGTGTAATATACTATGCCGTATTTTGAATGGAGAGAAACATTTGTATGTTCTTAGATTTTCAAACAAAACTGTGGAAGGATATACAAAAGTAAGTGATTATAAGGAAAGAGGTTGAGATCACACTTTTAAAAAGTTAAGGGAAAGAGGTGGGGGGGAGGCAGAGACAAATGTATTTAAAAAGTAAATAAATTTTAAAAAAAATACAATAAAAATGAATTGCCCAACCAAAAAAAAAAAAATAAAAATAAAAAGTTCTGTTTACTCCAGCCACAGTGCAATGATAAACCTATCTAAAAATTTTAAAGTAAAGAGACGTATAACTTCTCAGAAACAAAGTGAAGATCTCTAGTGGACCAAATTTTCCACTAGGGAAACCTACACTGATCTATGTACTCAGCGACCAGAAACCCAAGTGGTAAATGCAGCAAGGCAAGCAGCTATGCACCTCACCACTTTTGACATGGTGGTTCCAATGTACTTCAAATGTGTTAATTAAAATGTGTATGTGAAGCATGTATAACCTCTTTGGAACAAAGTCATGTCCTGTTAGTTAAATAACTCTCCTTCTAAGAAACAGCTCTTAGCCAGCAATTAGGCTTCACGGAGACTGGCCCTCGTGAATTGGGTGTTACTTGAATGCCAAATAAAGCTGAGCTTGTCCAGGAGCACCCATCAAGTGGAAATGGTGTATGACAGTCTAGAAGACTCTTTGTGCCATGCTGACACCCTTTATTCATTGTTTCATGTATCATGGAGGGTTCCTAAAATCATTTGTCTAAAGGGGAAAAAATGGGACCTAGTACCCAAAGGATAATGGAAGTCACCAAAAACTAAGTTTTTCTAGAAGCTGTACAGAATAACAAAAATGAGGTGACACATTGATCCACAGCTTCTGAATAACCAGAGAACAGTCCAATTTTCAAACTACCTTAAGTAAAAATAAATATGGACATCAAAGTCCAGAGGTATTTTTTAACTGAAATACAGTTCGCATACAACTTTAGTTTCAGGATTACAACATAATGATTTAACATACAGTGAAAGGGTCACCAAATAAATCTAGTTAGTATCATCACCACACCAAATTATAATTTTTTCTTGTAATGAGAACTTAGATTTATTATCAGCAACTTTCAAATCAATATGATATTTACTATAGCCATCATGCTCTACATTCCATTTCATAACATGTATTTTATAGCTTTAAGTTTTGGGGGGGTTTTTTTGGCCACTTTACCTATTTCATTAGCCCCAGAAAAGTGTTATCTGGCAAACGCTAACTTGTTCTCTGAATCTATTAGTCCAAGTTTTGTTTTGCTTTCAGATTCCACATTTAAGTGAGATCCCGTATTTGTCTTTCTCTGACTGACTCCTCTTAGCATAATGCCAGCCTCAAGATTCATCCAGGGTGTCACCAATGGCAGGATCTCCTTCTTTTTCATGGTTGAATAATATACCACAGAAGACAGATGCAGAAAGGGTGCCCAGGGATTTCAGAGAAGG